AGGCGGAAGAAAATGGATGGATGGATGGATGGATGGATGGATGGATGGATGGATGGATGAATCATTTGGTGAAAAACTGACTTTGAAAAATAAATCTGTTCTTTGTTTCTTTTAAAAGGCTAAATAAAACAAAAATATTGGTGGTAATTTTTGACTGTGTAACTTTACAAACAGCACTCCACAGGCACCCCTCTGTTCAGAACCTGCCTTCCTTTAATTATACTTTTAAACATAAAATACTAAGCTTGTTATGTTAGTTTGATTTATCCATTTGTCATGTTTGCTTGTATTATTTTGAGAAAAACAAACTGAGTTTTGAAGTATTTGATCTGCCTGTTGAGATGAAAACCTGTTGAGCACCAACAGTGTGAAGCAGTGAAGCTTTAAGTGGAAGAGAATTCCTCTAAATTAACAGTAAACGAGCTCATTGTTGTAGGGTCCACTCCACTAAAGTAAAAGTTTTACTTCCTCCTGTTTGAGGTGAAAACACCTGGAGTTCACTCTTGTTTCAAAGGGATGTCTTCATTTTGCTCCACTGTTAYGTTTTTTACAGTTTACAATTCAGAGGAATGTGTCGGAGTAAAGGAGCTTAACTGCTTTCCTTTCAGAGGCACTTYCAAAGCTGGCGAAACAAATCCTCTGTGATAAAAGGTCAGACTGAGGAGCTGGAGGAGGCCACCAACATGCTGGGGACGGACATCAAAGAGCTCCGAGAGTCGGTCAGAAACCTCTTCTTCTTCACTGTCTTCACCAGGAATGTTCTTTTAATTCACCCTCTCTCTTGTTCTTCATGCTTCTTTGTTGTTTGACATGTTTTAGTGCTGCCAAATCAACCAACACAAGGAATAAAATCCTTTCACACCTTTTAAAGATTTAGTCTAAAATGATCTAAAGTTCTTCAGTTTTAGATGTAAAGTCTGTGACTCATTTCTGCAAGTTTTATTTAAATCAGTTCAGTGGTTTGTCAGATAGTTTAACTGATAAATTAATACACTTACAGACAGAAGATAAAAAGAATAAATATATAAATRAACCTTATTCTTAATACAAACAAAAATCACAGTTAATAAAAATTCCTATAAATAAATTAAAAAAAAGCTTGTTCCAGAAGTTAAAAACAGGTGGAAACAAAGATTAAAGGCATTTTGAATTTTGTTTTTTGTGGTTCTTCAGGAGAACCTGGTGAAGAATCTGGGAAAGAGTTTGGATGAACAGACGGAGGAGACCTTCACCTCAGCCAAGCAGCTCAGCTCGAATCTGACGGATCTGAACCAACTCATCGAAGGTAAGAAGATCTGCCGTTTAACTGGAACGATCCAAGTTTGCAGGGAGTTATCAGTGATGGTCTTCATCTTCATCAGAGTTCTTCAGGTAGGAAGGAGTAAAAATATGTCACATGAGACTTTATGTCAGAAAAAGTGAACCAATCACAATGCATACTTCTGGTTCAACAGCAGGAGCTGCTTGTTAAATGACCATCACGAACAAGTAGCTTCCATCACTGTTTAAAACATGTCCCACAGAGTGACTAAAGATGCCCAAATCAAATTCTGGAAGTGGTCATTCANTGAGAAACACATAATATTGGCCCTTTAAATGTTCCAACGTTTAGACATAGCCCACAAATCGTCCTTGGAAAAACCATTGCAGAAGTCTAAAGTTCGCCTGCTTTATTCCGTCTGGAACTAGCTCTCATGAGTGTTTGACATCATTGCTGATCTTCTCACGTTATTCCACTCACTTTGTAAAATCCTGTTTAACACACTGATACCTTTGGGGTCATTTTGACCCAAGGACAGCAGGAGGGTTTAAAGAGCCTCACCATGACTTATCCCCATATTCTCATCATTATGGTCAAACTGGTGTGCGCTTTATTTGGTCTGATCATAAAACTTTTCTCCAGAAGGCTTTTGGTTTGTCCAGCTGCCAGTTTCATGAAGTGTGGAACAGAAGCTTCTTTCTCTCAGTGCATGTTACCTGGTCAGGCCTTTTATACGGCCGGATATACAAACAGAACCAACAACAGATGGATGGACTGCAGTTATTTCTTCTCAGCAGAAGTGGAACAATGCACAAAATATTAAACTGACTAAGGAATGTTTATATTTTAGATATTTAATGATGCCATCTGCCCATGGATGACTGAAATTTACTGGGCTGTGTCCACTGTAAGAACTGTGAGAATAAATGAGGACAAATGCAGAACAACAGCTTGTGTAAAAATATGTGTGTGTGTGTGTG